TAACCACCACGGTATATGTATGTATTATACATGAGTAACTGAAGGATTGCGTGCTCACTAACGTTTGCTATGTCTCACGAGTCTATAGTGAATTGTGAAAAGACTACGATCCACGGTCGATATATTATTCAATCCAGGAGTAAAACTAACCGTTGTTGAACAGTCGTGCCTGGATGAAATGTGAATAATTAGAGCATTTTCCATGGAAAACATGTAGGACACTCCGTAGCCTTCCTTATCCACTGGGCCAAAACCACCACCGTAGACGCGATTTGAGTCCGGGTGATCAGGAGGAAGTGTCATTTTTGAGGTCTGATTGGTTGGAGTCTGGCTGGTGGATAAACGCCATGGTGCGCTCAGAATCTGAATGGAATATGGACAGGTAGAAAGCCAACTCATCAAATGAATCATAAATACTGGAATGCGTACACGGTTTTGCTTAGGATTCAAGCATAAACCTTATGCATCATATAATAATGTGTATGACTTAGTTGTTACGATTTGGTTTTGATAGCCACCGACCAAGGTAATCCTCGAACTGATTTCTCAGCATGATTTTATGAAAAAAAAGCGATTCTAAGAAGTATGCAAATTACTTTTAAATGTGACTGGACAGCTGTTTCGTCTTGTTTGGTACTCGTCAGCAGTCCGTAACTTTTGTATCCCTGTCAGAACTCGACCGGCGGACCTTCTGAACCTCTGAAAAACCGAATAGGCTAATCCAAGCTTGGCAGTCTAAAACTGCGAATTACTGTTATAAATAGCGTACTACTAGATAAATGTTTTGAGCTGAGGTGTTCACAGGGTCGGGTCTGTATCGGTTCATACACGGTTGCAAACGACTTCCATTTGACCAAGAGAAAGCTAATACACACCAGCAAGCAACCCGTGTATTCGAAAATGTGTTAGCAATCTTTCAGGTCTGAAGTTTAACGTCTCGCACTGTTCAAAGATCTTCCACCGGTTCGGATCTACCAATACATCCAAGTTTATCAGTTGATACTTCTAGAAGCGAAATCTGAACCACACAAACTATAAATGCCTCCCTCCCGGCTCCCGTCAGTTCTTTCATAACCCCGGCTTCTAGACAAAAATGCTTATTTACTCCATGTTCCCAAATGTAGCAATGATTCTAGCAGTTCATTATATCAAAGCTCCTTGATGAATTTTCTTGGGGAGTTCACAATCTGTTATCCTGTGGTGTGGAAAAGCCGCAATCCATCGGGGGCTGGTGTCCAGTACATCGGATAATACGCCCTTTAGACAGTCTAAAACATTTAAGGTGCCCAATAAACCTCGATGCCGAATGGAGCCACTGACTACTGCCTTGACCTGGGCACCAAAGCAGTATTCTACCTAAAAAATAAATCATGGAACGTTTTTATTTTTATAAAGATGCTTGTACGCTGATTTGTTTGGCATACAGTCCGAACTTAGACGTGTGTGAGATACAATACAACAGGGCTCATTCATGGAACAAGGCAGTCTACTGCATGTCGCCATCCACATATGCCTTGTAACATCATCAGTGGATACAGCGTCTTTAGTTCACCCCCCTAACTTAACGCAATTTCATTTATCACATTCAAAATGGATGGTTGGATGGAAGAAACAGACAGAGAGGTGTTGTGTCATCCCTCCAAATCACACGCTCCATAAAGTGAATGAAAATTTTATGTCGATTGTGAAAAGTTTAGCAACCTCGGTGTGATTCAAACCCACGCATGAACACCGCCTACGCTTTGTACGCGCATGCTCTACCAGCTGAGCTACGAGGCCACGTAGCCTCAGCTGGTACCGCATGCGCGTACAAAGCATAGGCGGCGTCCATGCGTGGGTTCGAATTCCACCGAGGCTACTGAACTTTTCACAATCGACGTATAAACTTTAAATCTGCCAAACAACACTTTAAATGAAAATTATCTGAACGCAAAGAGAACGGTTAGTGCTAACCTCTTAATTCCGATACGCGTCTTTTAAAACCGTGGTCAGTGTTTGCCGGAATATCGCAGACAGTATGGTGATAGTTAGTTGTGCTATATCATGCACAAATATAGTAGATCCGCTCAGTTTCCTGGTAGTTAAGGTGAACACCTATGTGCTGCGTCTGACGTCCCACTTTCGATCCTCGGTTTCGTGGATACCGTTACACTACTGCTCACGATACTGAGTAAAGTTTCAAAACCTCGCACCACGCCCCGGTATTTCAGTTTGTGTTGCCCATGTTCTGTGTATGACAAAATTCATCAAATAATCCAAATAATCCCTCGATAAAATGTAAGGAGGAAGTATTGAACATGGTGGGGCAATGGATCATGACTGTGTGGATACATTTCTGTAGTACATGTCTTCCTTACCTGTTTCAGGAACGGACTCTCCATACTGAAGAATTTTGACACGATGTACAGTGCGAACAGATGTCGATCCACACCCTTACCCGAGATGGCATCACGAGTCAGATTCTGGTGACGATCGGTTGCAATTCGAAATAGTCTTGCCCGTTCCTCAACCTGATTACCCATCACGTGGGTGTGTGCGTGTGACAAAGGGAACAAAGCAAGACCGAGAGAAAGATTGGCTAGGTGTGGACAAAGAAAAACTTATAGTGTATAAACTAGTGAGTAGAGAAATAGATGCCTTTTTCATATAGTCAACAGAAATATTAAAGGTTTTGAAGCACTTATGAGTCAGGGATGATACATTGTGCGGGGAAAATTATATAACAGTGATGAGCCACCACTCGATCGATACCGGTGAGTTTCAATTTCCAAATCATCCTGTCCTGATGGCACACATGACAAAGGCCAGTGTCGCGCATCACTCAACAGGTAACCGAGACAGTCAGTCAACTACAACGCTCACAGTATACCGTTTGTGTACAGTTTGATGTGTTTTGAATGAAATAGGAAGTCACGAATTCCCTCACTCTACACGTGATGGCTGGCTGATAAAACAACTTTTCTCGTTCCGAAAACAACAACAACGACAGGCAATTATTGATCTGGAGTTGTGAAGTTTTGTGGTTTCTAGAACCATTCTTAAATGGTTCAGGATTATACAACAGAAAAACCATATATTGACAAAATATCTGTCTATTGAAAACCTACCTCAATTTTGATGAAAGTTGTGAGCTAAGGCGAGAGATCGTGGTGAAGTTAGGTAAGATACACCATATATACATATATATACCATGGGATGTAATCGGGAACGGATAGTAAAGGTAAGAAATAATTGACTGTTAAGGTTGTGGTAAATGATATTGGGCAGGAGTGGGTGTGTGGTTTTGTATAAAGCAGGGCATCAACTCTCCAACCCACAAACCTGACCTTAACCGATGCCATCTATCACGATCTTAACGGTCAATTATTTATTGTCTCCAACGTCCCTTCCCGATTACATTACATGCAATGCATGAAATTAAGCTTCTAGTGTACCATATCTTACTTCATCCTGGTTTCTCACCTTAGGTCATAACTTTCAACATCATTTCAATCAGTTCATCTCTCTGTCATATATTAATTCTCTCAACCTCTTCATCATCAGGTCCGAATCCCGGCATCGACGCTTTGCTTTCCCATTTGCCCTAGTAAAAACCTTCGGCAGATTGCAGAGTTCTTCCTAAATACTGAGGCATGGGAGCATGAATACCCTGACCAAAAGAATCAGTCACAAAGTTTACCTTAGGTTCATTGGTTGGGGATCATAGGATACGTATAATTGTTGGTTATGAGCAATGATTGATACACCTGCGTATTGTAACCGGCGGTGCTATTGTACGTGGTCAGCTTCTTTGGAAATTTAGTCTAAACTGAGTTCAATTTTCACGTGGATACTGCTCTCAACTATCAAATTCTTCCTTTTACTTCCTCATCTAAATGGGTGGAGAGACAAAAGAGGATAAGGAACCGTAAGATCAACCCTTATATAAACTGAAAAATGAAAAAAACTGAACACTTCACTTAACTGACTAACTGATTGCAATGAATTTTGAGCAAAATAACCATGAATCCCTATCATTGCTACTCTCAAGACTGTATACTAGAAATGAAATATTCCAAAAGCACCTTTGATTCAGTACTTCCCGGAGTTTCCGTTTCCAATGCCGGATTAAATGAAGAAAGAAAAATTATGGAGAATCACGATTGACGTGTATTCGCACAGCTACTTTTAAAAATTCCATCATTGATTTATTATTTCTAGCATTCGCTCTATGTTCAGTAGAGTTCGGTCAGCTATGTACTCTCGAATCAAAAATTAACGTTTACTAAGAAACTGTCTGTACACACCAATTTCAGCTGAGGCCAAGTACCCCGAGCTTTCCCTCATGCATACAAGTTAATTAAAGCATTGCCGGTAAGATGGGATTCTGATCCGAAAGAGGATCGCGGGTGGTCTGTTTTTGGAGCAATGCGTTTCATCTCCGGATGTGAATAAGTACTTAGGAAACCAGTATCTTTTTTTCAAATTCGCATGTCTAATAACACCGTTATAACAGATGTGAAAATGGCTTCTATCTGTGATAAATCACGCCTCATTGTGTTTTTTTTTATTCATGTTCTTTGATTCGAAGAAAGTTGCCATAGGATTGTTGGGAAATCAAAACGCTTTTCACTTCTCACTTCCAGCCGGTTATCCTTGAAGCAGATGTTAATTTTGAAGTTCAGTTGTTCGCCGAGCCCGGCAACTAAGCATCAACCAGCGAAACAAAAAGAACACTGAATACCGTTGTTTGCAAAACTGTCAGAGTCAAGTCAAGTCAAGTCAAGGAATGGCTTTATACACCCCGAGAGGTGGATATTCAGCACCCACGTAACCATAGTGTGTCAAAAAATACGTAAAACACAATAGTATGATACCGCAGTTAAAATGATGTGAAAAGGGACAGCAACAATCAAAATGGGTGGCACACCTGGGTGTTCATGAGGGACTTAGTGTAGTGTTTGACGCAGATTTCCTGTAACGAGGTCTTGGTTTGTTAGAAATCTAGCGAGATAAGGAACACTTAGGCAACAATTCTGAGGTGCATAATCTCAGATAATCAAGTCCCCTCATCAACATAAGTGATTTATCCGTCAACTCTTTGTCACCGATCTTCTAGTACTGTCAAGTCATTTTCTATGGTACAGATTTTCATATGTTCTCTGATTATTCGAAGAAACAAACAATTTTTGGTTCCTTTCAGGAGGTTCCACATATTTAGTTGAAAAATGTTAAAAGGTCTCCCGAGTCGTTCGAATCCTCCTTTCGATGTGAATATGGCAATAATATTGGTCTGAAAGTTTGGCGGTTGGTCCGTTCAAATACATGTAATTTATCCAATAGAACTATTCACAGGCATCACTGACCGGAATACGAACGCAGTAATCGTCAATGTGTATTTTTCCGGAGTGACAACCTTCCTAGTTCTATGATCAGAAAAATAATGTTACATGCCTCATATGCATCTTTAGCTTCAGAAAGTGCCAATCTGTTCAAAATCTCCAATTCAAACAGTTCTCAAATAAAAAAATACCAGCCCTGAGTTTTAATCGATTGTTTATTTTAATTCGCTGTTCTCTCGTATTCTCCGATTCCGTGCAGAATTGGTCCGGGTTCCGTGTCAAAACCGATTAAACATCAGCAGGGATTCTTCAAATTTACTTCCTCTCAAAGTTACCTGATAGAAGCTTATTTCGCCTATTCTCCGAGCTCGACTACTTATTTGCAAACACTTCGTCACCAGTTGAGGTGACGTCGTCAGTGCTTGTGAAGTGGCAGTGTTCCGCTTTTCATGGTTTATCTTTCCATTGTTCTCACAGTGTCCGACTCGGTTAGCCATTGAACTATAGTGCGAGGGGTTGGTGGTGTTGGTGTTGGTGGATTATTATTCCGTCTGGATTGCGGTATTTTGTCTGTTCTAAGGTCACGATGAGACCTTTCGTTACATCATGTGATCCTTGAGTTGCATTGGTGTACAAACGTGATCCAGTTCGAAGTGTCGGTTTAATGAGTTGATTTAAGGGCGCTAAGCCTCGAGAAATTCCCCTTCAAATTACTTCTACAGCGATGTGGTCGTTGGTCTTTCTCACTGTACTGCACATCCTAACTTACCACATGTTCCATTTCATATAACATTTTCTGCAAAGCATAATGAGCGCATTCAAACAAAAACAAACAAACGGATTGTAGTTTATGTGATCCATGTGGATTTCTTATATTATTTCATCTATCATTTTTCTCATCATATACTTGGTGACAGTTGGTGTGTAGTCTTACGAAATGTAAACCGAATGTAATCATTCGCTTTGTATGTGTAGGCAGAGATTATTATTACTGACAAGATATTGAAAATTGGTTCTCGTTGCTCTCGGGTGAACTGAATTCTCTTTCACCTATTCGCCGGGCATGGCAATCTCTATGCAAGCGTTTCATCATCGCACGAGGTTGTCCCTGTTTAGCATATCTATTCTGCTACTTGTGAGTAGTGGCACTAATCACACACGTAATTCCCAGTTCATCCAATCAACCATTCACTCGGTAGGCACTTGGTGCGAGTTTCGCTCTTCTTTCGTGGGATCTATTCTTTGACTTATTCGGAGTTTGAGCTCGGGACCCTAAAATTATTGTTAATTTAATTGAAGCGTCAGTTAGAATTCAGCCTAACAGTTCGTTTTATCCAATATAGAGCGAAAACACAAAATTGTTCATGTTTATTTTTTGGACAACAGAAATGCGTTTAACTCTGTTGACAGAGACGTCCTATTGACAATGTTACGTTAACATTATCTCCCACCACATCTTTTGAATTGGATGTATCAGTAATTTACTGACCGATGCCAATTTACTTGTCTCAATGGTATCGGGTTTTCCAATGTCACTATAAACCAAGGTGTAATGCACGGGGCAATTTTATTCCCTTTTCTATTCTCAAGCCTAGTCAAGTCAAGAGTGCACTTTGTTCACCCCATGTGGACAGAATTTTCAGTGAAAAAAATGTTATCACTTTTGCTTTGGCATACACGCTATTAAAAACGAGTTCAAAGATACGATAAATAGTTACTTAGATGATAATGAAGACGACACTGAGAACACGTAAAAAATGAAGAAAATTCCAGCGTGAAAATTTACATTAGATTGTGTATAACTTTGTTTGATATTCGTTCCCCGGAAACCAACAAACGTAAAAGGAACGGTACAACGGAGTTGTGAAAAGTAGTGGTGTGAGTGTATAAAGGTTTTAATTTATTGCAGGTGACAGAAGCTAGAAAAGAATAATAATGATAATAATAATAGAATAGGAGAGAGGGTCGAGTGTAAAGTATGTGATGCATCGAACAAGATAGAATCAAGCAGACGGTCACACGCGTCTTAAGGTGTTGGTTAACAATGAAATCAACCAGCTCCTCGTAAGATACAGCTCCATATCTAGAGATGCTTTTCAGATTGTCTAATTATTATAAAATCCTTAGACAGTAGATTGGGGAAGATCTTGTGGAAGCAGTAGATCCAATGGCATTAAACGCACGAGAAAATAAATATATAAATGATGTACGATAGCACCCTCAGATGTTGAAGACGTGACATGTAAAAGGTAAGCTTTCTAACTTAAAGAAATGCTTGTTCTACGTTTTACATCTAAAACTTGCCAGTAACCTCAAATGTTTTCACATTTAAATATGCCGATGACATGGTGGTTGGTGATGCATCTAACAATAACAAGCCCCATTAATCAGCCATAAATTCCATTTCTGAATGGTCCGATTGTGTTAACCTTTCGGTAAACCCAAACCAACGCACTGAACTTTTGTTTTCCATTTACCGTAGGCCATCAACACTTTCTGGATCATTTGTTCCCCACATCCTAATCAATAACTTAAACGCTGAGAGTTCACAACCTCTCAAATAAAATGGATGTTTTATGTCTCCTGACCTTAAATGATCCTAACAAACGTTCCTTAAGGTTAGAAAGCTTAACTTTTACATGTCACGTCTTCGACATCTGAGGGTGCAATCGTACACATTTTTAAATTTATTTTCTCTTGTGTTTAATGCCATTGGATCCACTGCTTACCCGTTATCTTCTCCAATCTACTGTCTAAGGATTCCATATTGATCAGACACTCTCTGAAAAGTATCTGAAAATATGGAGCTGTATCTTTCCAGGCACTGGTTGACTCAATTGACAATCAACACCTTAAGGTGTGTGATCGTCTGTGTGACTCTATCTTGTCCGACAAATCACATCCATTACACTCAACCCTGAATGGATTCATTACTTAGACTTCAAAAATCAGTCAGTAAAGTGTTTAGATTTTCGGTGTTTGGAATGTTCTGTTGTACAAATTCGGTTGTATACTTACCAGTTTATGTAGACCATTTTATTAAAAAAACATATTGGTATTATCACTTATCATTTACTAAATTACTGGAAAGGATAATTCATTAGACAATGTGACCGGGATGTCATATGTCTATTGAAACTCACTGGACTGTAACCGTTTCATCAGAACTCACCACAATTCAGTGGCACATGGATGAATCAGGCTATCCATTGGAAATAGATAGTGGGTGATGCGAATAAAAACACCAGGAAATTCACCGGGATGAGTGCAACGTGCAGTTCACTCTGTGAAACGAAACCGCTGTAAAATCGCGTTCCATATTTCTCACCACAAAAGCTTGACTTAGCAAGAAACTCTCAATGATGTAAGGAGATTTCCGTTGCTGTTCGAATGCATGAAGTTAATTCGGGATGCAGAATACGAATTGTCAGTTCTATCCGATTGAATCAATGCATTGGATGTACCGGATTGTATCTCACATTATTTTTCTTCCGGTGGAGCTTCTAAATCATACACAGAAAGGTGTTTTTGGCCCTGGCAACCACCACCACCTACCACCGCCACTTGTTGTACGAATGATTGTGATAAACAAAAGTTACGACGGCACTCAATCAGACATTGATTAGTAAACGGTATGTCGGTCTCAAACGAGACACTTACGGTGCGTTTTTCGTCCAGCAAAGCGCGTACAAATTCCGTCGATTCGGCTGTACACGAACGCACAGTTTCCGTGCGACCTTCACGAAATAGGCGAGTCATACAGGATTCGTAGACTAGGGCAAAGGTATTCTGATCCTGAGACAGGTAGCCGCGAATCGCACACATATGCAAGCAAGGGAATAAAGAAACAAAGACCATGAAAGGAGCTTTGGGAAATACGATAGTGTAAAATAATAAAGATTGATCCTTTTAATTACAGAAGGGGTAAAACCACAAATCTGAGACAAACGATGAATGATTCTCCCTTTCAAACCAAACTGCAGCGTCCAGATTTAATGCGAAGACATATGTTATTTGCATAATTGCATTTCCACCGGTATTGGTTCAATTACCCAACAATGCTGTCTACCTCTCACCTGTTACCTCAACTGATATTCGCAACGGGAATCCTAGAGTTAGGTTACTCAGCTACTTGAAAACGATAGCTCTCCGTGTTTGGGCTGACAATACGCGTCGAATTTTCCTTTCAATTATACTCTTCTTCTAGACTCCAAAAAGATTATCTCCACGTATATATCATCCACAACTGAGGCAGCCCTAACAAAAGTTAGATCGTGAATCAAAGTTGCAATGGAATCTGCCTTTACCAATGCCAACGTTTTGTTGTTTTGAAGTCTGGGGTAATATGGACGGAGGCGTGGTGTTTACCTGGACTCCAATTTTTCATACCCATTCCAGTGAACAAGTGAATCAAATTTCACCAAACCGATCTAAAGTATGTGGAGGACCAGAATGAGTTTGCTCATCCTGGTTAATTTGCCTGTTTGGGGTGAAACGTTTCCGTACAGTCCAAGTGATCATCATTTATTGCAATGGGGCCGGTTTACGAGGGGACTGCAACTTTAATGTAACCAAGGTAGCATGAAGTAAAATCTTAAGAATAACCGAGACCGTTACCCACATGCGATTAAAATCTGATCCATGCATTCCGAAGGACTTTTCAACGCGCAAGCCTCTGCCCTGGTCACTTTGATGTCCCTCATTTTTGTGCGACCATTACCCACGGACCGATTGCCTACCACTCCAGCTAGGTTGATCTCAATGCATCCTAAGGAAATTTACCCATTCTGGACAACTTTCCAATGATGTTTTGCTTCTGTGTTGTGTGCGACACTCGTGACAAGAGGATAGCCCCGTTTTACTTTTCGGATTCTTTTGACGTAACTATCTGATAGCTAACCATAGTTCTGTTCACAAATCCTTCAGGATATTACATTTCTCTATGAGTACTTTGACAATACGAGTGATTTCCTCAGGAGTAGTGGATTTGGTTCATGTTTTTCCTTATACGGGACGTGCCAATTCAGAAAGTTGTGAACTAAAAGCGTTTCGTCAATTACCTGTTCGAAGGAGACATTCATTCAGAACGTATCTGAAAATGTTTGAAGAGCACGCGCTCACAGAAACTTGGAGTCAACGAATCTGTCATGCGTATTATCAGATTCATCAATGATAAAAATGACCAACAAAGCTGCTTCTCAATGGTTTCTTTATCCACGGTTATTTATTCCTTCAAATATATTTTCGGATTAATGTACTTAAGTCGAAAGGCGAAGCAACTGCCCTGGTGGATTGTAGGGCCCAATTCACGCTGGCTGCACAGTGGCGAAAAAACGAGTTTACCACCGAGCAGCTTTTGCTTACATAGAGGACACTACCAGCTTAAGACTAGATCAGTCTCCCTGTTCATCCATTAATGGCTCTCTCTCTCTCAACCCTCGGTTTGCTGACATTTTATCTATATGTGTGTAAGTGAGATAAGTTCACGCAAACAAGTCTCGAATTGTGGCGGTGCTGTGACCCATCTGAGCACTCCTCTTCTATTCCTCTCTTTCCCAACCAAACAGTGTAATCTTCCACCGATGGAATGGCTTTCCCTATAACAGGATTTCTATGTATCAGCTGCCCAAATAAGTCAACAGTTCATTCACATATACCTCAGAATAGCTGGTGAGTAGCGGCGTGATATAAGGGATACTGATTTGGACTGATAAAACTTCACAGCTCAAATTCACACACACACACACGTATTCATCTAGTCAGGAATCACTAGAATCAAATTTCGCTCAGTGATGCATGTCTACCGTCCCTTAGGGGATCCGAACTCCGAACCCCTGACAAGGAACTCGTGTATGTGTATTTCACCCTGTAACCATCTCTCTTCCGAGTTGATCAGAATCACCAGTTCAAGTATCAGGCCACAATGAACCGAATAGCTATCATTGATTTCAAACCGTGTACTGGATGGTAGATGTTCACTACTGATAAACTTTAACACGAGCCAAACTTGGGTTCGTGCTTCCCGAGACTACGGTTTAATTGATGAACTGAGTATTTTACTTGAACGTGAAAGGTGATGAACTGTTGGTTCAATCCATATTTTGGGTTGTCTTTTTATCACTTGCCATTGCATTTTTGATAGACAACGTTTTACATAACGCTTCAATTCATGGATCTCTTCCTCATCGATTTTCTCATCACATTGCGTTGTTCTGTGCTTGCACGTTAGTCTGATATATGCAACCGAATTTCTTTAACCAGAACTTTCTTGGCCCTATCATGTACACCAGAGAGAAACTCTTGAAGGTCTGCCAACTGAGGGATTGTGTAACGCATCCAAATTAACAACAGAAAACGTGCGAAACCAGCCACGGGTTCTATTAACAGACGCTTCAACTTGTTGTTGTTTTCTAACGCAAAAAATTCTTCTGAATTTCGACCTTCACATTTTTCGCTTCTTATTTACCATTGATTCGGTGTAATCAGATGCATTCAAACGAAAATATCCAGTTCAACATTGAAGTTTACCAAACCAACCTGTTGCCACAACAAACAATCCTTCCGAGTGTGTTCAGTCTAAAATCTCCTCATAACAATTTAAATTATTAATCGTATCTTGTGGAGAACAACTGTGCCATAACTAACTTGTCCAAGGGGCAAAATAAGACGGTGATTGCAGTTTCACACACACTCCTACACACACACCCTCATTTGAAGCGAGTTTGCGTGCTTTCGGAATGTCGCAGAAAGCGATCAGTTAGCGGCCAGTATTCAGGTAAACACAAAATAAAAAAACATGCTCATTTAAAAAGCCATAATAAAATACTTGAATATTGGAAAAGTAACCGATACGAGCCATGAGACACTTGTATTTTATTGACATTTATTTCCTGATCTGCCTTTCTGAGGAGGGGGGGGGGGAGGATATGGTCATTCAGTGATGTGCTCTGATACTTCATACTGCTGTTTGGGTCATAAAAGAATAGAAAATCGAAATATATGCAGTCCACTACAGGCAAGTCCACCATTCCTCCTCCGTTCCCTCACCGCTACTTGCTGACTTGATAGTTATTCGTTCCATCCATTTTATTCACAGGATACAGAGGCCGTAAGATTTGCTGGAAAGCCGGTAGGGGACGGGGGCATTCAATCTGTCCGCACTGAGACAACTTGGTGTGGTGCCGTGAACATATTGTCGAAACAGTTCTAGCCACGGCTATATTCTCACTGCCTGCATTGCGACTTATTTGGCATGACTATTATGCCACGCTGTACTTTTTTCTCATTGCAATTAGGCCCAAACATCAGTTACATCAATCACATGAACCAGAAACGTTTACATCCGATACCTCCCCAGCCCGAACTGCCTCATCGACGTCGTGGTAATAAACCAACTCTTTTTATCCATTTGATGCTCGTTTACCACGCTTTAGATTCACGGGCGCTGTTTAGAAANTAGAAAATCTTTCCTGGGGGAGGAGAATGCTGTGTTCATATACCGCGCCTCCAGGACACACATTTTGGTAAAACTGATAGCACCGAAAACCGAATTGAATAAGTCAAAAGTTATGTCAAAGTTTTGCTGTGTGAACTACTTACAAGCGATGGCTTTTCTTGTCTCATAGGATCTCCGAAAAAACCAGAATCAATTTATTGTTCACAGAAAGATCAGGAGTCAAAAGATTTCTTTGCTTTGTGCACGGATATTAAACCTAAGAACAACCAAATTTTATCCAGTTTTTGCTTGAAAGAATCAATTGTTACGCCCCAAAAACAACATGAGGTGGTAGAGAATTCCAAATACTGCGCAATATCAGAGCAAATGAATGAAGTCGATATCTTAGTCGACAGTTTTGGGGCACCAATACCCTTTGGAAGCGAGTTTCGAGCTAAAAGATGAATGGTGAATGAAATGAGTGATCAGGGCTCTGAATTATTTGATACTTGAAAAATCAAATCTCCTCGAATTCAGCGATACTGTGTGGAGTATAACCCTAATGATTCGCCTTTACACACTTCTTGGAATGAAGATCCTTCGTCATTCTTTCTGGACTCTTCATCATACTGTTAAGGCGGTGTATGCTTAAGAAAAGATTTATCCTTTATTTTCTTCTCACCGAGAATATCATTGATTCATAATTGTGATGTAATAGTTTGGACCTTATTAATTCCATTACATTATCTGATGAAACTGCATTTTTATTCGCAGTTGATGTTTCCGGTTAGTATGGTGAAACTGATAGGGACAATTTTCCTCTGCTGCTTATCAACCGACCAAACACTCCGTCACTGAAGGAACTCGTATACAAGCACGCGCCATTTACCATGAAATAGGCCACTTGTAAAGTCATTTGAATGTAGGCATCGGGGGAGTAGCCAGCTCGTTTGATGAAGCATCGACCGTAGTCGGTGAACTGTGTGACAACCAGATCGATTGCATCGGCCAGATTTCGAGCCACAGCCAGCGATGATTCAATCATTTCTATGCACTGACGCACGAACAGGGTGAACGAAAAAACAGGAATGGGAGAGAGGAAACAGGAAACTAAAAAACCTTAGCTCGTAAATCGGGCATTAGACTCAGAAGTTCAACGTATTACACTGATGATGTTACACTTTCTTACTATTAAATACAGTGGTGCGATCAGTTTTTGAAAAGTGGGAAGTTACAATCAAGCACATGTAACCTGGGGCATACAGGTAGGAAACCTGAGTTCTGTGGATTTTTTGATAGCGTGAGCAATGTTGATGATGATGGTGGTGCTGGTAGCGGATTTGAGAAAACCCCCAAGGAGTATAGTTATTGGAATACGGTGACTACCAAAAGGATGAAAATTAGGAATGAAAGCGAGTCATTGAATGAGAGAGGCCAATAAAGACAGAACAAATGGTTTGCCGCTCTGTTCCACCCATTCGATTGAGTGGTAGGCGCATAGCGTTCCGACGGAATAGAGCTTCCCTTCTGTATGTTCGTTCCGCGAGCAATCAACATTTGTTTCAGTTGCATGTTTCATAGCTTGCACCGCATGTATGCAGCGTTCTATTGTTTTTAATTGTTTCACGAAATAATTTGAAGGGGACCGGCTACGGGAAACAGGTTTAATGTCCAGTTTCAGTATTGCTCGCAGACGGTGTAAAATAAAACATAATTGAAAAGGAAAGCAAAACTTCAGAAACAAAGCAAAAACTGACTGAATGAGTCACTAACCGTCAAGCAGAAAGCACTATCGTTTACAGAAGAGAGAGATAGAGCAGTTCAGCACTGCTTTTTACGAGTTGCTAAGTGATTATATTTTTATATGTTCTCCGGAACAATCATCGATTACTCAGGAACCCTCGAATACTACCCATTCCCAAGAAGGAATCTTCAAAGAATCGGCTAATTTCTTGTACTTCGTCGCTGTTGAAGGGTTTTGAAAAAGATTTGTTAACCGGATGACTACTGACTGTGATGCTCCTAATCCGCTTCAGTTTTTCGCCGAACCTTGACGCCGTTGCTTATAATTTTCATTCGGCCACTTCTATTTAGGTTGAGGGTATTGTAACTATTCATTTTATGTTGGCCATCGTGATGAGTTCTTCATACGCGTCGGGCCCGCCTATATTAACCCACCCCGCTTGAACATCGCTACTCATAAAACATCGGTGTCTGTATGACGCGGATACTCAAGTGGCACAAGCTAAACACTCCATTCACATATGTTCCTAGGGTGTACAATATAGCTCTAGTGCATGACAGTTAGGTACCGGCAAATTGAGACAAGCGGATTTAGGCACAGACTGACCGATGGTTGAAATTCCCAAACCAGACGACGAGGTATTACTTTCAGTTCCGCTTGGCCGTCACATTTCCCGTCTCTAGTGTAACTGGAAAGAGATAAGACAAAATTCAAGATAAATATTGAGTCCAATAGACAACTTTCGTGCCCATTTTTATATACTCCACAGTAGCCTTTCATTCGGTTTGTTTAACAAAATCATACCGAGTACTCAGAATAAGGTGGTCCCCAGAATAAGCCTGCTTTTCAGAGCAGCACAATACAAACAATGATCAGGATGTCTCACCACCAAAAGCAGTTCAACCTTGTAGGTATATCACAAAAACAAGTGAAATTTTAATGAAGATATGACTTTGATAATCCGGAATCTGTGAATCTGGTACTTAGCAGTATGAGCTAATTAGCACACCTCAAACAAATTCATACTTTCCATGCAATGGGTCCGGGATTCGAACTATGGATGGGCCAGTTGGCTACTCAGTTAACGTAAGATCCTTTATTCTTGCAAACGTTCAGCCCCTTCGAAGACTTTTTAGTCTGGTAGATCATACCTTCATGAGAAATCGCTCTTTCATAGATTATGGTACACAATCAATTAAATCGGACTTGGATATCGCTTTATAACAGTGTGTACAACCAAAGACAGACATCGCCACTTATTTCTTTATTCATTAAAGCTTTCATGAGACTCGTCTGAATTATCTCATCACTAATATGGCTTATTTGTGTTGTGTACGTAAATCTGCATGGCAGTCCTAAATTGCAGAGGTAGGATTTGGAGAAACGCTTGATATTTATCAGTCAGATATTGTTTTAGCGAATTACTGTATTAGCAGTATTAGCGGTATTGGTGGTAGTAGTAGTAACAGTGATAGTAGTAGTAGTGGTGGTCATATAATTCCGCAAATAAATGCCTGGAGGAGGATAGTTGTTTATTCCGGTAAGGGTATCGACAAACTGGTGTATTGACAAAAAGACCGTTTCATTTATAGCATGCTATCATAATTCCTAGAAACTAGGAAGATAACTGATGTAACGGTAGATGCACATTTTCTGTAGTTACAATTGTGAACGACGTAATTCGTTCTGGAAGTTCTTGTTTATTTTTGACCGTTGTGAGAAACCACCAATCATGTTATTTTGCTCAATTCAAACAAACTACTGTTAAATGTGAGTATTACCTCACAATAGCAGTCGTTGTTTTGTCTCATTCAGAGGTAGCAGTCATGTAATTGGCACAAAATCAAATAGACAGCGACCAAGCTCGATGTTTAGGTGATTGCAAAACCGTTCAGGGTTGCATAGCAATGTGCTAAGGTAGTTATGGCCATCGGTTCTATGCTGCAAACCCGACGTCATCAGACTTTGAACCCAAATTGGAATGTGTTCACCCACTCGGTTACGTAATTTCCGTTATGTTCTGCGAATAGTAAATTGAGTAAATCTCGCTCACAGATAAAGGTCTCCTGGTCCGGATGGAACAATGACAGTCAAAAGTCATATGTCTGTTTGCGACAAAGTCGCGACCGAGGAATTCCTGGGGGCACATGCAAACAACGCAATAAACTTGACCGGAATAGGTGTGGTCGTCGATCCGGCCGGTCTGAGGGTGTGGTTTTCCAAACCTGTCGGACACCCGTGAAGTCTTACCATATTTCAAATATGTATGTTATATAACCACATTACTATAACTGTATGAGATATTTGCCAACGAGGAGGGGGGGCGGTAAATTTCACGTTTCCTGTCAGCTGTCACATGACTCTTTTCAACGAACCAATATGTTCACCCGGGTCCAAATTTAGGCACATGAATTAAACACAGGACATATATTCACTGAACATTTGGACGGTGCAATGGATAGCCAGACGGAAATAAAAAGTTACTCTCAGACGAACCTGCGCTCGACGGAATAGATACACACAGAACTCCTGTTGGAAACACAGTTAAGTTGCCCGATCCCAGACACGTGGGATCAAAAGTTTGAATGCTGTTCGCACCACACTGAAAGTGGTGAGTCATGATTTTGTGGAAGCTAATTTTTCATTACACAGTTTTGTGTGATGAATAGCAGATGGGACGGACTGCATAGTTATGAAGACTTGCTGTTTAGTGATAGAAAGCGGCAGCCTCAACCCTTGGATTTGAAGTGGTGAACCACATAAGGTCCAACTACGTTATGCGTGGTACTGAACCGAAAGACAGCAAAACTGTCTAACGCCAAATTTGAGTGGCGGTGGACGGGTTTGAACCTCGGACCGTAGAGATTCAAAGCATGCCTGTAACAGCGACTAAACCACTTCACCACCATATTGTTGCATCATTCGTGTGATTCAACCGAGAAGCGGCAACAAGCCTTTTGGGTTCGAAATAATTCGCTCAACACAAGCTATAAAGTAAAAATTCATTTATCAATGTTTTGAAAACTTTTTTCAAATTCTTTACTAACAGTGTTCACCGCGTTTCCAAACACGGTTTCCTCGAAGGGGCTTGTACGCTCAGAGGTTCAGTTGGAAGCCGAGACTTGTCCACTTCGCCTCGGACGTGGGCAGTTTTGGGGATAACTCATATGATAAGCAAGAGCAAGTGTATCCTCTCAAAGTGTCTAATTCACGCGCTGGAGTACAGACTACTCAAAACGCCTGAAGTAATTCCGAAACAGGGCAAAGTAGTGATGAGTCATCAACAAGTCCAGGGTGCGATAACTGCGTTGTCAGGGAAATGAGTTTTTCAAATTTGTGGTTCATTTCAGGGGGATTCGGTGTAGCAATGGACCCGTGTACAAATCATTTACAAAAATAACGAGTGCAGCGTACAACAAGAACAAGCGACAATTATAAGATGAATATATGGAGCATTGCAGAAGCAAAACAAAAGCCGGAAAGCAGTATACAGCTTTTCCGACCTTGATGAGCACAATCAGTGGGATGCCTTCATCAACTTGACAGAACCGTGCCGACGCATTACTGCGATGATCGTGTAACGAGTGCGCACACACCGCGGTACAGCTTCCAGGTAACCAATCAAGAAACGGAATAACCGACCAATCCTGTGGTCCAATTTGGCACCAACCGGATTGGCCGAATGAAAGAAGGCAAACAAATACACCATATTGTTTTCGATTGGATATTCAAGAATCGACCAGTGATTGTTAGTTGCTTTGTGTGACTTTCTGAATAGAATTAACTTTATCCACAGCTCGTCTGGATTCTACCTGATTTTGCGCTATTCAGTGGGTCTTCAGTCCGATTCCGAGTTCGCGCTATTCGATTGCGATTCCTATTCAGAATACTACAACTTTCCATCGGATAGTGACCAGATTGTGTATGCGAGATATAACATTAAGTGGGTACAACAGCGTGAATCTAACTTTTTCCCCCAAAACCACTGGCCAAGATTTACCAGCTTTGTTGGAAACATTCTGAATCTAACAAAAGAATAAATGAAGGAAATTGAACAAAACTAGAACGACTGCTTAGTGCTTCACAAAGTTCACCTTCAGCGGTGTACAAGAAATGCCATTCATTAGTCGAATGAAACTCCCTAGAAGTCGGCTGTGAAAAGTCCGAAAAGCTTCCTGTTTCGTACCGTTCGGAATCAATTGATGTATTCTTTATTTTGTCTTGAAAATGCAACGAGGCCTCATTGAAAACTCTGCGCACATTTTGCCAGTGTTACACTGCAGCAAGTTGTGAAACCTGCCTAATTGCCCATTCCTCCATTCATTGCTTTATTGTATATAAAACACAGTTTACGGCAGATAAAATGGGAC